GAAACAGCACAAAAGCAATGATTTTGCAATACATATTTTCCATGGCCATATCTACTAATTTATTTGCATAAATAGTCAGCATGGCAGAGCGCAGGCCTGCGGTTGGATTCCAGGTATGTAAAGTTGATTGTTTCCTTTTATTTCACTAACATTAAAATGTGTGTTGTTTTGTTAACTACATGCGATTACTATAAGTCGAGTGTTTGAAATAAGTTCATTTTGTGAGCTGATGTGCGGTTTTTGTCTCAGAACGAGGCAGATAATTTTTATTTATTTATTTAGTCATTTAGCAGACGCTTTTATCCTATACAGTAGTAAAGGCTATGTCCATTAGCACTGGATTATAAATATAGTTTATTATTATGAAAATACTAGATATGGCTTGAAGAACACAGCTAACCCATATATTGTTGCGTCGTATGTTTATTGTATATTGTTGGATATTGAAACATATTCTTTAAATCAGTGGTTCCCAAACCTGTCCTGGAGGCCCCCCTGCTCTGCACATTTGTTGGTCTCCCTAATCAGACACCCCCAATTTAGTTCTTGCAGTCTCTACTAACAAGCTGATGAGTTGAATCAGGTGTGTTAGATAAGGGGGACATACAAAAGGTGCAGGGCAGGGGGGCCTCCAGGACAGGTTTGGGAACCACTGGTATAAATAACATACCTCATCATCATCAGCTGATTGTGTGCCACCACAGGACTTGACATGCATGTATAAAACTGGTAATGGCATGGTTGTTTGACATGTCCGACACTCCACCTTTGGCATCTTGACAAACTCCTCTGCGGAGAATGGAAGTGGATCAAGACACAACTCATCTTGAAGAGGGACCATGTAGAGTGCTGTTCTTCCACTGGTTGTTGCCATTTTGATAAGGCTGCCAGTGTAGCCCTCTGAGTCTGGAGGGACAACAGTAAGCCTTCTCCTTCCATTACCACCTGCCAATTCAAATATACATTACAACACATCAAACCATAGTGGGCCTTTACAATATAATTAGGCTTTTATCTGTTGAAGCTAAAAAAAAATTAGTAATGACCAGTGCCCGAGTTTAACCCATACTGTAATATCACATCCTTGTGTAATACTATAAAAGAATAACTTCTTTTAACAGGGTATGTATACATGTGAATGCTTTGGGATGCCAAGAGAATGTGCAATTGTAACCCTGTGTAAGACCACTCAAATATGACTTGTACAGTTTGCACTAAAACAGGTGTGTTTTAGCTCTTCACATGCTTGTGTCTGCTCTGGTATTTAATATAGTGCACCTGGTGCCTTATAAAGCAGCCACCCTCCAGCGAGTGATCTCATTTTGGGAAATTCAGCTTCAAGTAGCTTGCATAACTACAGAAAACATGAAACAGAACAAGGGTTTGCAAACAAGAGCACAACATTTAAAGCACAGACAGTAATGGTAATGTAAATACATATGAAATATGATTATGAAATATTGAATTGGGATTGTTTCAGACAATTAGTCTTTCCATACTCCAAATTCTTAACCCTGGGCCACTCATAAACAATGGAAATCAGGGTTTGCGCTGTATATTCACAAAACATCTATTAATACTACTGTTAGCAAAATAGCTTGTGGTGAACACAAAAAAGAGGTTAGTAACTGCATATCAATGGAACAGATCACAACCCTCTACATTGCGACTAAATCTTCACTCTGGCGACTAAATGATGTCTAATATTACCCAATTGCTAATAAATTCTCAGATTTTACCAGCCAGTGTGAGTTGGAGGCTAAGTATAAGTTTAACTCGGATATATTTTCACTCGCTGACTGATATTAAGAGTGTACTTTCAGATATTTAAAAAGCTGTACCATTTTACAAACATTATATATGTTTGTAAAATGGCATAACTTTTTATATATATATATATATATATATATTAGTATATCAGTCTGGCGAGTAAACAAAAAAATTTACTAGCCAATGGCGATTCAATTGCCAAGGTGTTCGTAGAGGGCTGGCTCATCTATGGAAATGCTGCATTTTACTTTTCTTTTCACTTTTCCCCAGATTATGAGTATATGCATGACTTTCTATACGCATAGGATTGTTCAAAGTACATAAGCAATTAAGAAAGCAGGCACTGAGCTTTACTTGACTGTTTAACGACTTGTTGGGGTTGGGTGACCTTACATCGACATGGCCACAAAGTTGTACAAATGTTTTGCAATACTACTAAAAATTGTACTTACTTCAGAATGGTTCATGTTCGACGAAACTGTAATGGTACGTTTTCCCAACCCTGCCTGGATTAACTCCAGCTCATCGGAAGGAGAGGGTGAGGTTTCAGTGATTTTGTTTAAAAGACAAATATTAATTGTAAATGGCTTCCATGCTGTTGCTTTAGACTATATTGGTGTGTTTGCGGTTTTCTTTTTCTTCTTAAACATTCCAGGAAATGCTCTATAATACAATAAGAGTGTTAATTAATGTTAAATGTGCAAAAGAAAGACGAATAGAACAGTTTAATCTTTAGATGAGGGTGCTGATAACCTGGTGATATCTTGATCTATTCTTGGTGAACAAACAGCAGGTGAAGGCTGCTGTTGTTGCTGCTGCTGACCCTGAGCTGGTTGATAAAAAGCAGGAGAAGGCTGCTGCTGCTGACCCGGCTGTATCTGACCCAGGCTTTGGGTCAGAATGTTAATTAAATTTTGTGCTGCTGCAGTAACATCTTGGTTCTCTCTCTGCTAAACGTGTAATGGCAAAATAATTATATTAGATTACCAAAATCATCGTACATTAACAGTGGGCATAAACTTAACAGCTGTCTAAACGCAGAATTATGAAAAAAGGTGTGCACTTGAAATCAGTTTACTTTTTTATCCATATACAGTCTGCTTGAAGAGACACAATATAATATTTTTATAATAATATTTATTTGTCTCAATACTTTTATTTTCGTTTGCAAAACTTTATTATTTTGCATATATATGTGGCATTATTTTGACTCCATAGAACACACACACAAAAGCACATTTGCGCTCGCGCTCTCTCTCTCTCTCTCTCTCTCTCTCTCACTCTCAGCGAAGCGCGCGTCAGTTCAGATTCAGTGTCGCAGTTTATCTACACTCCACATCTCCAAGCTGAGAGAAGTTGCGAGAAGGACACGCGAGCACTTGCTTTATTTTTACTAAATTACTTTTTTTTTTTTTGCACATCCATACATTTTAATAATTTGTGGATAACATAAATAATCTTAACTGAAAGGCTGCAAGAGAGTGAAGTTGTCGATCTATGGAGCGCTACGCCGTACGTGTGGATACACACCAGCGCGAAACTTAAGACATATCCTTCTAGCGTATTTACCTGACAATTGTGGCTCGCGCATCATGTCTACGATCAGGCGAAAATTCGGCGAAGACTATCAGGTGGTTAACACCAACCGGGCAATGTCCTTTTCTGCCCCGGCCAAAAGAAAGCGCCAGAGGTTCGTAGAGAAAAACGGGCGATGCAATGTCCAGCACGGTAACCTTGGCGGTGAGACCAGTAGGTACATCTCCGACCTCTTCACCACGCTCGTTGACCTCAAGTGGCGCTGGAACCTGCTTATTTTCCTTTTAACGTACACAGTCGCGTGGCTCATCATGGCATCTATGTGGTGGATCATCGCGTACATCCGCGGGGACCTCGGCCACGGCCACGACGAATCGTACACGCCGTGCGTCGCCAACGTTTACAACTTTCCCTCCGCTTTCCTGTTCTTCATCGAGACTGAGGCGACTATAGGCTACGGGTACCGATACATAACGGAGAAGTGCCCGGAGGGCATCATACTTTTCCTGTTCCAGTCGCTGCTGGGCTCGATCGTGGACGCCTTTCTCATCGGCTGTATGTTCATTAAGATGTCTCAGCCCAAGAAACGCGCAGAGACCCTCATGTTCAGCCAGGACGCGGTCATCTCACAACGGGACGGGAAGCTCTGCCTCATGTTTAGGGTCGGGAATCTCAGGAATAGCCACATGGTGTCGGCGCAGATCAGGTGCAAGCTCATCAAGGTAGCGCTTTCTGTAGAAAATACTATTACTAAACTGTCAATAGAGCCCGTGTGGATGGTGTGGTATGTGTGTGTGTTTGCGCACGTTTTACGAGCACAAAGGCGCATCTCGCAACAGTGCTGTAGGGAAAATATCCTACATCAATTTATGTTGTTGATTCTGAAAAGTGAACTGATCCTCTCGGTGAAGAACAATGTTGGATGTTTTGATGCTTCACGTGACATATGGAGCTTGCATTGATTTTAAACAGAGCTCGCCATACTGTAAAATTGGTCAATGCCTGTTTGCACCGATCTCAGCAGTCTCTGATTTGCATAGAGATCTTGTTTGCTCTCAGAACAAAGAGCAATGACGTGCATAAATGAATTGGGCACATCCCCCTGATTATATGGATTCCCATGGGAAGCTATTGGAGCCTGAGTTTAAATATGAGCAGAGTGTTATACCTGCAGCTCAGTTCAGCTCAAAAATTCAAACAGTAGAAGAGAAACACTTTGTAAGGTCCAAGGTCACATTGCATGACAATTGAAAGGGCAAAGATGTTCCTATGTTGTTTAAAATGTCATGCCATTGTAAGGAATTCAAGCAAATCCCATGTCCAAGCAAATACATGTATTATTTCATTAAAGTTATATCACCTACCCAGGTCATCTTTCAGCTGTAATTGGTTTCAATACAAAACATATAACCAAAAATAAAATAAACAAAACTATTATAAAATACATGGCAGAAAATACAAAAACATAATAATCTGAACTGGGAAACAGCCAAATAAAACATTTTAATTTTAATTTAATTGAATTTTAAAAATATCTAGGCATCATTAAAAAAAATGCTCTAGAAAATGCATGGCATTACAATATTACATCTTATTTCAAGAATATCATGAATTATTATTGATTTATTTATTTTACCTTATTGACAAATTAAAAAAAAATGTTACGCACATTTGTTTTTACTTGGTTTATGCAAGTCATAAGTCTGTTTTATTTATTTATTTTTTTTTACACAGATTTGCCATTACTGGAAAACAAAACAAAAATACTGAATTTTGCAAGCAAAAGCAGAGCAAAAAAAAAAAAAAGACCTCAAAAGGTACATTGATGACATTCTTATATGTGATGTGCTTTGAGTTCACACGCATATGTGGGAAGTGCAATCCACACTTAGTTTGAGCAACAGTCAGGGACTGTCAGCTGATGTCTCTCCACTACATTTATCACACCGGCAGATGACACATCTTGTGTTCCCCTTTGAAGGTTTTGCACTTGTGTTTTATAATTCCCTTAAAATAAGAACATTTGTGTATTTGTGTGTGTGTGTGTGTGTGTGTGTGTGTGTGTGTGTGTGTG